AGGGTGGGTGCCTCACCCACTCCCCTGGGCAGCCTGTTCCAATGTTTAACTACTCTTTCAGTAAAGAAGTTTTTCCTTACATCCAATCTAAACCTCCCCTGGCGCAACTTGAGGCCATTTCCTCTCGTCCTTTCGCCAGTTACTTGGGAGAAGAGACCGACCCCCACCTCGCTACAACCTCCTTTCAGGTAGTTGTAGAGAGCAATGAGGTCTCCCCTCAGCCTCCTTTTCTCCAGGCTAAACAACCCCAGTTCCCTCAGCCGCTCCTCATAAGACTTGTTCTCCAGACCCCTCACCAGCCTCGTTGCCCTTCTCTGGACACGTTCCAACATCTCAACATCCTTCTTGTAGTGAGGGGCCCAAAACTGAACACAGTATTCGAGGTGCGGCCTCACCAGTGCCGAGTACAGGGGCACGATCACTTCCCTGCTCCTGCTGGCCACACTATTTCTGATACAGGCCAGGATGCCGTTGGCCTTCTTGGCCGCCTGGGCACACTGCTGGCTCATGTTCAGCCGGCTGTCGACCAGCACCCGCAGGTCCTTTTCCGCCAGGCAGCTTTCCAGCCACTCTTCCCCAAGCCTGTAGCGCTGCATGATCAAGAGGTAGCCTGAAAACTCAGGAGAATGGTGTCAGCGTTCATACCTAAAATATAACAGACCAATACAATAAATTAATGCTTGTGCAATCTTCAGACAACTGCTGAGTTCAGAAGAACAGTGTATTCTGCCTAATATAGCAAAACTAGAAGGCAAGTGAGTGGACAGGTAGCTACATTACGCCTTAATTCTTTTTCTTGCTTTTATGCAATGTACTGAGGATTTAAAATACATCTAGTTGCTTTGCCTAATGCAAGAAGGCTTGTGCAAGGCAGCAAAAAAAACTCCTACAACTTTCTGCTAGACTCTGTAAATAGCTGCTAGCATCTTAGACTATAAGCTTGCAACTCATAAGCTGGTAGTTTCTTTCTCTTCTGAAACCGTGTGTGTTTTCATGAGGACTGTTCTCTTGCTGAATTGAGGCATCTACATCTAAAGCCAATGAAAAGTTAAGCAATTCTAAATGGTAATTTAAACTGCATGGTCTGTAGGAGGAAATTCGCACCTCCTAAGCTAGGTTTAAAGTTCTGTGGGATGAATGTGGACTTAACTAGAAAGATCCTATGAGCATGTCATTATTTCCAAAATACAGGGAAACTCAATATTTATTTTGACTTACTGATACTTGAGTGTCCCCTTCTGTGTCCCTTCTCCCTCTTGCACCTCTCCCCTGCTAATTCCTTCTTGTTGTGTAAAGAGAGTGAAATAATACTAAATACTCAGGATTCGGGCACTTTGGAAACAAATGAGAAATCCAGATTCTTCAAACTGGGGAAGAGCACAGAATATCAGCAGTAAGGATGCATGTCTTACCAATTATTTAGATCTAGGTACTATTAGTTGCAAGCCATTATCTGCAGAGACAGCGCTCCCGCCAGCAGTGCTAAAGTGCCACAGAAATCTGGCTGGTAGGCCAGGGAGACTATTGTGACATCAAGGAAAATCTTGTCCTAAGGCAAAAAAAATGGACCTAAGAGTGCTCTTTAGTAGGATATGATTACACCTGCAACTTCAGGGTTTTTTAGAACTGTCAGGAGCTGTTAAGAGCCCTGGCTTTGTATTTTAAGGCTCATATCAATAAATGGAAGTGCATATGATTGAGTTCTTAATGAACTCAAGTGGCAGATATTACTCGAGTCAAAAGTTTTAATGGAACCCCGGCTTCTGGTCTTGGCAGATCTAAAAAAAAACAACTTAAGACTCAAAATAAAAATATAAATATGTAGGTTCTTAAAGATTGTGAGCACATACTGTTAACAACTGATGCTCGTAACAACCTCACTTCAGAAACTTATTCACAAGCTAGCTTGTGATTGTAGGCACAAGATGTGCAAAAGGCAATCTAATAATGCATAAAGATGCTGTCAATGAAGTGTCTTTTGCTGAACCTCTAAGTTGCAGCTTTTAATGAGAGCTGCAAATTTTCTTGTTGAGGGACAAGTACAAATTTTATCTTCTACATGCTATAGTTAAAGTAATGACAGTGAAAGAACAGGTTGAATTACAGAAACTATTTGGTCTGAAGTTGACTTAGGAATTTTTTTAAAAGAAGGCTTTAAAAAATGTATGGTGAACTTGATGTATTTTCTCTTCTAGGAATTGGCTATGCCATGTCACTGCTGGGTCCTGCTATTGGCTATGTCTTAGGAGGGCAGCTACTTAATATTTATATTGATATCCAGATCCCAGAAAGGCAAGATACAACTTAGTCTTTTGCTTTCTATTTTCTTTTCCTAATAGTTCTTACTAAAATCTTCAGCTTTTCTCTATGTGAGGAGGAGAAATTGAGGAGTATTTTTGTTTGGAAAATACTGTATTTTCAAGAGCTTCTTTTAACCTGGTAAGAAGTTGCATTCACAAGGGCTTCTAGCAAGTGAGTTACTTCCCACAGTGATTAGTCACTCCATTGTGCATGAAAGTTTCTCTGTAGTGCAAATACTTAGTTCTAGCTTTTTGAGATATTAGTATTTTAAAGCTGATTAACAAAAAATGCTTTGTCTTTTCATTAGTTGCTCATTTAGGATTAGATCACAATTATTGATTTCTTGTGCAAAAAGCTTCCCTGAGGTGGAATATGAGGGGTAGGATACTGCTACTTACCTCCTGGGGAAGAGCTTGCTGAAAAATCTACCAGTTGAGTAATAGTCCACTATTCAAAAAATAATGTTATAAATTGTACTACTGTCCAAACCAACAACTTCATTTACACTTTTATTTCATGTGGTTTAGGGACTTTGGATCAATGCAATGGCATTCTGAACTTCTGTATTGGCTGTCACATAACTCATTGATTATGAAGATTCTTTCTAAAAACAGCTTTTTCAGTATCTTAATAATGCTACCAGATCTTGAAATCGGGGCCAAATAGCGGCCTTTAAGTTAGAATGAATTTGACTAATGAGTTGAAAGCTATATTTGATAGAATGCAATATTGTTATAATAGAGCTGATGAATGTGCTTTAAACAGGCAAACAATAAATTTAATACATGTAGAAAACAAGAAAATGACAATATTAAAAGGCTTTCTGTTAAATCAGTATTAAAAAAAATTACAGCTCACTGACATCTAACATTGCTGATTTGAATTCATGAATGGTAAACCTGCTTTTTCCAAATTATTTTTCCAGTACTAAGATGGATCAAGATGACCCACGTTGGCTTGGAGCATGGTGGATAGCATTTCTTGCATGCTTTCTAGCAATTTGGCTTCTTATAATACCTTTTTCATGCTTTCCGAAACACCTACCAGGTAAACATTTAACAGTAATGGGCTACTTTAGAAGAGAGAGTTGTTTATACTTGTGGGTTATAGACTTCTGGACTGAGTGATTGATTCCTCTTTGATTCTGTTTCTCAGTTAACCGAGTCTCAGTCTTTGGCTAAAACCTGATGATAAATACCTTGTTTCCAATATGCAGCCTTTAAAACAAGGTGAATGGGCTAGAGACGATATTGTGTATGTAACGATGTACAGTAGAACTGGAAACAGGTAGAGCATGGAAACTGATGGTCAAAGTTTGGAAAATGCTTGCAGCTAAGCACCCAGGACTATATTTAAAGCTGCTATGTTACCCACCAAGAATCATAAGGAAATTCCATTGACTTAACTCGTGTTGTTGTCTTTGACTCTATTGCCTTGTTGTTTTGGGTGGAATAATAAAGCATCAAAGTATCCCAGAGCAGTCTTCTAAAAAGAACAATTTTAATATAATTTCTGTTCAGGCAGATATTATCTAGGAGTCCCTTGGAAGAGCATCTAAAGGAACTTAATAAGCTTATCTGGAGAGAGAAATGATAGAGGAAAAGAAACAATGAAGTAGGCAACTGGGGAGAATGTAAGGGCTATTTAAAAAAAAAAGATAAATTGAATGGGCTTCAGGATAGTCTAAAATTCTTAGCATATCCCTGATAATATCTTCTTACAGTAAAGGCCTTCCAACAGAAACATGATGCTTTCAGCCAAATTCTTCTTTCCGCAGCAATACATTATTGATCTCTTTATGGATCTGTACCAATATAATATTGAAGAAGACTTACAATGTCTGAGCTAGTTCTCCCAAGGAAAGTAAACACTTATTTTGATGCTTTTTCTGACTTTAAGTCTAAGAGCACAAGTATTCAATGTCTTCATTGTCAATAAGTATGCCCATTTGTAGGAACAGCAAGAATACAAGCTGAAAAAATCTCTGAAACACATAACGATGGAAGTGAGGTGCTTGTTGAGACCAAGAATATTGGAAAAAGTTTTAAAGACTTTCCCATGGCTCTCCTGGTAAGGAAATCTTGAATTTACTAAAACTGATATATTCTGAGAAATGAAATTCTTTTTCAGGTAATACATAAATGTTTAGAAAGGTAATTGCTTCTTTATCGTGTTGTGATAGGAAAGTCTCCAGTGCTACTGATAATTTAATGCATATTCATTTTGTTGATGCTTAAGATTGTTAGAGCAAGAAAAGCATATTAGTGAAGTTCCACATGAGAGTATCTACTTTAAAATAGTGACTTCTAGTTTACATGGTACTACAGTGAAATAATTTCCTGAGCGTTATGCTAATTTCCCTCCATAGATACTGTTGAAGAATCCAGTGCTTATGAGTCTAATAATAGCCAGTTCTTCAGAAGCTCTAGTTGCCACTGGCTTTGCCACATTTCTACCAAAGTTTATAGAAAATCAGTTTGGAAAGACGTCGAGTTTTTCAGCAACTCTTGGAGGTAATGTGGCTTTTCATTTTTAAATCTTAAATATATTGTGCTGAACACCTCATTAACATTATGGGTGGAAGCTTATACAGGCATCTTGTGTTTGTCTGAGGTATTTGTCAATATACTTATATGAAATGCAGTTTTCAGAGCAGAAACAGTATTTTTATATTATTCTTTCCTGCCCTATGAGAACCCTGGTACTTAATTCATCAAGGGTGCAAAGCTACTTGTTTGTAAGTTCAGAAGACTTTGATACTCGTATTCAAAGTAGAATGAGAATTTTGTGTGCTGCTGAAACTGTACGTTATGGCTCTCTTATTCTTGGTGGAAAAACATTTAATTTTCCTCGCTTAAAATCAGCTGAAGGAGCATTAAGCCTTAGTCCCTACTAAAGGAAGCAAGATGAAGGGCAGCTGGAAAAAAAAGCAGTGCTTACCACAAGTAAGGGGTTGGCTTGGTGTTTCCCTTATTTAATTCCACCATAACATTACAGTGAGATAGCTTAGAATAAAATGACTAATCAGGATGTATTATAAAAATATTGTGTAACTGCCTCTATAGTTGGCTTACTGTCACCTATTCCTATTATCTGATATGCAGAAGTAATAGGTAGAACAGGGGAAGGCTATGAAAACCTGAGTGTTGGAAAAACAAATAGAAAAATCTGATGGAAGAGCTGTACTAGGTGGGGTCACATGATTAACTCTCACACAATTACTTCTGAAGAACAGCAACTAGATCAAGGCAGATAGGCCAACAGATGCTTGCAATATGGCAGACTTAATATTTCTGGAACATGTCTTGCTAAACTACTTAAGCTGTATAGTGCTGCAATATAAGCATATGCTAGTTGAAGTGCTTTTTCTCCAACAAATATTTTTGGGATAGACTTTCTGAATGACCTACTCCCCTGGATAATACTAGATAGTACTATCACTATTCAGGCATCATTGCTTCAGAACAAAGTATCTGCAAGTTTTACATAGAAATACGTTGGACTAGATGCTTAATTGCTAAACAGTCATCAGCAGTGAAGCGGAAAACTGCATGTTCCTCTTTTGCCTACAGACCTTGTCTGAATTTTGATTTGAGTTGAAAATATTGATAGTGTTAATCAAATGTACCGCTTTAAAGAAATGCCTACACTAATGTTGAAAGCTAGTTGTACCTGAACTAATGTTGAGCTAGCTAGTCTGAGTGTTACCAATGACCATGTTAACTATTTAAACTACCTTTGACTATGGATGTCTGCGGCCTGTGCAGTTCTGTCACTGTACCTGAACTGTCTTTAAAATTAGCTGTTGCAGGTCAGTGCAAGTTACACTGAGTTCTGTGTTGTATTGTAGATTAGCCGTATTGTAGATTAGCCCATATATATATAGCAGTTATGCACCTGGAGTCCTAATAGTGCAAAGAGGATAAATCATTGTGGACTATATGGACTATGACAGCAAAACTGACACACTGATCTAGACTTTTTTTTAAATCTTTCTATAGATGCCTTATTGTACCTTGTGCTGTCTCTTGTATAAAAGCGATTATGTTCTCTTTTTAAAAAGTTTATAACACGAATGTATAACAAAGAACATGGACATGTGAAAAACACTGAAGCAATGAAAGAACATTTTCTGTTTTTATGAAGTGGCCTACTGGTGTTCAGAGATTCCTGCCCAGTATGTAGTACTCATAAGTAATCTAGTTTTTCTGTGTTGAACTTGGATTTTGGACAACTATAAATTACGCAGTCAAGCTGAACTTCTGGAAAGGCTAAAGATAATGTAAGGGTAGAATAGATTACTTATGCTGACAGATTCTGGTAGGATGGTTTGAAAATGACATCACATGAACTGCATCTTAAGATACAGGTGACTGTTGTGATTTTTTTCTTAACATGAAATTGCACTCTAAATTGCTTCACTAATTGTATCTTGCATTTTTGTGTAATTGCTGGTGTCTTGTTTTCCTCTAGGGCTTGTATTAATTCCAGCAGCAGCACTAGGCCAAATAATAAGTGGCATCTTGGTTTCCAAGTGCAAAATGGATTGCAAAAGCATAATCAAGTTCATGATAGGCACTTGTTCAGTGGCCCTACTATTAAACACAGTGTTTTTATTTGCTAAATGTGGGAATGAACCTTTCGCAGGTGTCTCTGAAACATATAATGGGTAAATATATTTTAATGCACTCTTGAGTTTGGTGTTAATGTTTAAAATAAATAAGCTACATCACAGAATACAAAACCTTTAAAAATGTTGTATTTTGCCTTGATGTATGAAACTGAAATGTTTTATGGAACTCTCAAACCTTGTTTTTGGAATCTTTACGTAATAGATGATTAAGGAAATGCTGCAAAATGTTCTGAGCAGACTGTACAGGCTCAACAAAAAAAATCCCAGCTTCTGTAACTGTTCTAGGTGTAGTAGCCATGTTATTGACTACAGCTAACTTTGTATCTTTGTAGAAGTAGTATGTCTCTTGTATCTTGTTTTATTAACCAGCTCTTGACAATCTGGGCAGTTTGTTCCTTGAAGGAGTCTGCCATGTGCAACAATTTCATGAGAGAGCACTGAGGTGCGCTGCAACTTGAACCGATTGCAAATTTTTCCCTAGAAAAACAAAGACATTATTGTAGCATCAGGTTCTAGCACATCTAGCTTCCATTTACAAAGGAGGCTTTCTTTTTTCCTGTTAAAATGGCTGATAGACGTAGAAATTTAATGCAAAGAGAGCATAGCTCAGTGACATAGGTTGAAGAATAAAAATGGGTGGAGTAACATGGTTAACATGGAAACATAATTCAAACTATTCAAAAGACTTCTCTAAACAATATGTACTTTTCTTTCCTTTAACACAGTTCTCATTCCTAATGAGAATGCAGTAATATTTAGGTATTTGTAGTAATTGTAATAAAAATTCCAGGATGAATGTTCTTCCTGTTGCTGTGACCAAAGCTTACTCTTGAAACCAGTATGGCAGTGGGAAAAAAGTCAGAAAAGTGACAGTAAAAATGAAGCAAGACTAAAAATAATTATCTGCAAGGATAAGCATTCTTTAGAGATTGGATTTCTAGGTCCACTTTTAGAACTTTTAGAACAACATTGAATGTATGTGATCAAATCACCAGCATAGGCACTATGTTGTGTAAAATGCCCAGTCATGCCTTATTAAGGAATTGACTATAAGACTGTAATGTTTCAATTCTCATAGTTTTAAATAGTACAAACTTCTGTAGCATGAGCAGTGTTTAAAGGCAGGAGGAAGGCAGCTAGCTGTGCCAAAACTGTGCTCTCAAGTGGTTGGTTACTCTGTCGTGAATTGACAGAGCCAGAGGCAACTCCAGCTGCTTGAGGGTCTGCCAAAAAGCCAGATGCTGTTGTGCAAAATAACTCTAGTAGGCTGGTAGCTAGGGACTGCTAGCTGCCATGTGGGGGGAAAAAAAAATCATAAGCATGAGCAGCATGCTGTGCAACTGGGTGAATATCAATACTTTTTTTGTTGTTTTCCCCAAATCCCCTGTTTTAGAAAAGGGTTAGGTACCACTGTCTTGTACAAATGCAGAATCTGTAAGTTATGCTCCAATGCATAAAAAGGCATTTGAACCTAAATAGGATGGGGAAGAGGATCTTTGCTCTTTACTGACACAATAGCATGAAAGGCACCATGAAAATGCAAAAGATGGGTTGGGAGGGAAATTGGTTTTGTAGCCTCTAATGCACATACAAGTTGGTAATACTTCTAGGAATAACTGATAAACATCTAATCAACAGTTAGGCTTATATGGTTTCTTCACTTGATATTTATCATACTTTTTGACTGACTTAAAATGAGCATATAACAAATAGAAGAACCCAGGAAAATCCCATCTTTCTCATGGAGGCAACTAAGTGCACAAATATCTCAGAATATGAAGGCTACTAATTTTCCTAGGTCCATTGACATAAACATAACTGACAAATATTACAAGGTTTTCTCCAAAATACAAAGAGTGACATGAAAGACTAACCAGATATTTTTCAGGTCTCATTCAGGTAAATGTGAAAACAGTAAAATAGATAACCTTAGGTTAATGGAACAGAAATTCAGGGGGCTTGGAGGCAGTAGTGATTGAAGGCAGTCAGGCTTCCAGTTCTCTAGCAGAGTAGAAATTTGATGCCATGATGCCTTAACCATTCATTTGTATTTCCTCTTCCAGAAGGCATACAAAATGAATAAACCAAACTTCAAACACTGGTGACTGGGGGGGGGGGGGGGGGGGGAATCCTTAAAAATACACACACCCCCTCCCCCCACGCCCCTGTACGCAGCCCAGGTGTAAAATACAACCTGGTTAATACACCAGAATTGACGTTTTCAACCCCTGTTCAGTCACAGAGGGCTCTGCCAGCTCATGCCAAAAGATGCATAATAATGGCAATCAAATGACGTGCTGACAGTTTAAGTGTATTCACACATTTATTTGGCTTAAAGGGACACACTCTGGGATGATTGGTGCAATATTTGACCTACTTTTCTCCATTTGCAAAACCTGTATCATTCTTAATGGGATTGCATTTTACTTTAAGCGTTGATGTATTTTCATAGGAATAGATCAATACTGATTTGCTACCGATGACTGCATTAAGAAACCAACACAGAAATGAACAGCCTCAGCTTTCCCATTTGTGAAATAGAGAAAAACAGAAAGATTTAAAAATAAGAGAAATTTCAATTACGAGGAGCCCAAGGGGTTTCCCTAAGGAAGCGAGAGAAAAAAACCCGTTCAGAGATATTTAGCTTGCTGCTACCCAGTCCCATTTTTGTTTCTCCCTTCTCTGAAGAGGACCAGACGTTGCAAGAGTGTGTCTCAGCACAGAATGTGACCAACCTCTCCTTAAAATACTCATAAATACTCCCACACACCCACAGTTGGCCACACTTTATGTCCTTCTGGATGCGTCCAATAGTTTTAAACACTTTCATTGAAAAAAAATCATAAGACATCACAGTGTATCCACGCTGGGATCCTGGGGACAAGGAAAGGGAAGAGGGCTGGAAGGCAAAGATTTATTTTTTTCCCTTTGAGCCTGAGTCACATTTCAAGCATTTCTCTGCAACCACAGAGCTAAGCCTTGCTTGAAAGAGAAAGGAAGCAATTGTTATTTAATCCCCCGCCTCTAGGAGCCAGGTCTTTAAGAACATGCCAAATATCACAAGATTTGCGACACAATTATTAGGACCGGCCACATCCCCCAGTACTGTTCCTTTCCTGTGAGGGCCCTTTCGTGCCGAAAACCTGCCAGGCAGTATGGAAACAAAGGCCTCTGCTGCCCGCCCCGTGGCACCTTCCTGCCCCTCAGAGCTGTGTGTGCCCATCACCTAGCAGTAGCATCACAACCGCTTCGGAAGCGCCGGGCCCTTCCATTAGGAAAACCGAGGAGCTCAAGCTGGGGGAAGCCACGGATCACACCCAGGCTGCCCATGCTACTTAACTTCTTAATGACAAATGATGCCGACGTACTTGTAACAATTACGTGATGGATGCTGATGACGCAGCTCCAAGGATAGTTTATAGCCATGACATCGGATATTGGTGCAGCCCACTACAATCCCTTTTGGGCCAGGGAACAGAAAGGGGAAGGAATGCAGGCTAAGCGATCAATGTTACCCCACAGATTCACTAATGCATTTCATTAGCTGCATCCACACCAGCACCGACAGCTGCAATCCTGTAACTGACTGATTTAACTCGGTGCGGTGCAAAGTGCCGTAGTAAGCATCTCCGAGTGAATGAGCCAGTGGGCTCCCTAGAAAGCAAAATACAGAGAAGCACAGTGCTAATCTATTTACCTATTATGATACCCTAGTATTAGTTACAGCTTATCACCTCAGTAAATCGCCGCCTCTTGTTAGGGAACATGCTTAAAGGTGCAGCAAACTGTTATTTACAGGCAGACGCTATATTTACAGCCACAAAGACAGGTGAGGAGGGGATAGGACAACAGCTCAGTAATTTCAATGCCTTCTGCTTCCCGGGAGACTGCTGGAGGAGCACAATAGGATTACCGCTTCCTTGCTGCAGTTAAGCTGCAGTAGATAGTTCAATAGGCAGACTGGCAGACCCATATTTCTTACTCACTGCAATGAAAATATTAGGAAAAAAGGAGGAGTTTGATTCGGAGAACTATCTGTTCAGCACCGTCTCGCTAGTTTGGTTTTGTGTCTCAGAAGGAAACGTGTTTGGCTGAAAAGATATTTACAGCATAAGGAAGAAAATACAGCATTTTTTTGCAGATCACATCCATTTATTTCATATTGCTCTTAGAAACAAATTCATATTTTTTACATGGAGAATTCCAGATAAGTGGAATACAGAGCTACCGAGGGCTTTCTATACTCTTCTGTATAGACTGCAATCTAAATACAGTTTTTGTAAGTTATCCAGTGAGGTAATTTGGTGGGGTGGGAAGGGAAGCAGAGAAGAGAAGAGAAGAGGAGGAGAGGAGTGGAAATAACTATTGTCTCGCTTATTTAAGAATGTTATTCTTTTTCCACAGAAAAATGGAGACCATATACTGTTTGGGAAAATATATTAAAAACATTAACTACCTAATGCCCAATGTGCTGTAGTATTAGAAAAATAACTTCAGTTGCATTAAAAGGATGAAATCTTTGTCCACAATTTTGGGAAGCAGTAAATCAGATGTTTTCCTCGTGTTTTAAAAGCCATTTTGCTTTTAAAGAGCTGGGAAACGGAGAGAGAAGGAGAAACTGGTCATCCCGAACTATTTCAAGGATTGATTTTCCTGCAGCTGTCCTCCTCACATACTCCATCAGAGCCTGGCGATGGCCAGCTAACCCGTCGGACAGTCAGTCAGGGCAGGAAAGCAAGGCCACAAAGGAAAGAGGACGTAACTATTCATTAGGAGAGATTCAGAGTATGCGTGTTTGCCCCTCCTCTTCAGTTCTTTCCAGGTACCGCTGTATGTCCTAACCCTGTGACAGACAAGCCCTACCCCTGTCATTACACAAGCTTCTGCTCTGTATCTGCCTCAATGCCGAGAGCACAAAAGGAGTATATATAATGCCAATTACAAAGCAGAAGCAGTCATTTCTCAGCAGTCTGGCTGTTCAACATGGACTCGCAGCGGTTCCCACGGAGTCCACCCCTCCTCTCCGGCTGCCAGCAGATG